GTCTTAAAGAAGCCCCTAAAATTCAACACACGTCACATGGCCATAGCTGGGGGACCTCTGCAGGGAGCTTTCCTTTGAACAACGTTCCTTTTCTGCAGGATCTGCTGTTTGCAGCAGAATTGTCAAGAAACCACAGAGTGCCTATCTAGTGTATTTACTAAAAATGACAAAAGCTTTTAGTTTTCAACCAGCCTGGGGTGTCTTGGTATTTCTTTCAGCAGCTAAGGGTAAGAACTGCCTGTCCGAAGTGAAGTTATCCTGAGATTTATCTCAGATTTACAAATCAGTTCTCTTCCAATAATACCTGATGTGCATTTAGTGCTGTCTGAGCATTCCCAAAAACTTTCTGAGCATCCAGGAGGTCAAACTTCCTTAGCTTTTGGGTCTAAGGAAGGTAATGATTTTATACAGAAAAATTTGGCATGCTCAAGGTTAACCACGCAGCTGTGTAGAACAGGGAGGGAAGAGGCCTGATTCTGCTGGGTCTTTTGGTCAAATTACCAGGAGAAAGAAGGGAGGCAATGTGGTGTATGCGGGGGATCTCTAGTTCTCTCTGTAGAAGGACAAATCCCATATGCCAAGGGAACAGGCACCTAACATAGTGTTTTATGGACATCATAATGGGAGGAATGAGTACTATCTCCACCTTCCTGAGCTCCCTGCCTGCCTGCGGATGCTCAGCTCTGCTTTCTCACAAAGCACGGCTTATTTCCCAGCAACATATTTCTACATATCTTGGAAAACACTCTGGAGTTGGGGCATATGGTTCCACAGAGCAAACTGCCCTACAAGGGACATATGCTTCCTCTGGCTTGAAGTGCTAATCAAATGAGGGCAAATAAGATCTACTGGATCAAAAGCAATTCCCAGCATTTCTGGATCCTCAGAGACTGAGTGCTTTCTGGAACCCCTCTGGAGAGCTTTCTTGTGTGAGAGTTCACTGGGGCCAGTCTACCAAGGAGTTTAAACATACAGCCCTTTTGATATCAGTGGGGACTTAGGCTGATTTCTTTAATAGGGAGAATGTAGCTATGTTTCTTCCCAGGTGCTGTCTGATGCTTGCTTTCTTTTTCTTTCAATCTGATTACCAAAAAGGCTGCTTAAGACAATAGGCAGATTTGTGCAATGCTGGCTGCAAGTAGCAGGAGACCTCTGCTAGAGCACAGGGTAATGGCTTGGAGAGGGCATGTTCAAATGCAAGGTCAACCAATGAGTAGTGCCAAAGCACATCATTGCTATTGATTGAGGAAACGAGTACCCATCCACTTTGCTTTGTGGAGATCAAGTTACTGCAAAATGAACAGGGAAAGGAAGGTATCAATGATTTAAAAAAAAAAAAAAAAAAAAGAGCTCAGGTGTTGGATTTCTAGAGAAAATCTCAACTTCTGTAGGCTGGGAGCAATCAATTTTGTCCAGTTCTTCCTTACCTGTATTCTGTCCATGTACACATGATGAGGTTGGAACTATGTGGTCTGTAAGATCCTCTTCCAAACTAAGCTATTGTATGATTCTGAGTATGTAAAGCGTCCAAGTATCTCAGTTCTTTCAGTCCTTCACAGACTGCACCCTGGACCTGAGCCAAACCCACACCACCTTGTCCCTGTGCATGTGTTGCAGGAGGGACTGTCTAACTTGTGTTCTCCACAGCTTATGGGGAGCATTCAGGCTATACAGGAGGAGCAGGCGATGTAGGGGGCAAGGAAGACGATGTAGGCTGTGTACTGTTTGAACTAGCAATGATTGCATATATATATGCATATTGGGAAGGAAGCTATCGAGAAGGAACCCAGAGAAGGAAATGCATATGTTAGAAAAAAGTTTTTGCCTATTTTTTTTCTTTTCTTGGGGTGAGTTTCTCCAAAGACAGATCTGTTCCTTCTTATTTACACAACACTGGGCATGAAATAGCAGCAGATCCCAGAAGGTGCTGCAATGGCTATGAAATCAGTTCATCTGAAATTCTGCAGTGCATGGAGAGCATCTTTGTGTGGCTTTTTTTCCACAAACAGATTAACCTCTGTCACATATGCATCAGAGTCCCAGATCGTTCAAAGACGCATCCTAAATCTGGGTGTAACGTAAAGCTAAAATCTCTCTCCGTCTTTTCTTCTTCCCTTTGTATCGTAATGCTTGGAAAGGAAGTAAATCCTGCTTTCCTGCTTCTGAAAGAAGGATGAAGGGAACTCATTTGCTCATCTGCACTACTCTGAATTGGCTGATTAATAAACTAACCAGCAAGCTTGGACTACAGTTACTCCTCCTTATTTTCATACTCCTTGCCTTCCTCGTGGTTGTACGCATAGTTACTCAGTTGTGTGTTATACGCATAGTTACTCAGTTGTGTGTTATGATGACAAGTTTTGTATCTTGGGAAGGTCTTAAATTAATCACCCAGCTAAGAAAATGAACACAGATTTCTTACATAGCAAAGTGCCGGCTTTGCTGAGGACTTTTTCAAAAGAGCATCATACAAGGGATGGTTGCAAACTGCATGTTTTGCCTGGTAGCAGCAAGAGTTGTCTTAAATGTCTGTGAATCTACTCTGATGCCACAAGAGTAGGTGGGTAATTCTACTAAAATAAAAAAAGTTTGATCCTATGAATACTGGGTTCAGTCTTTACAGACAACTTTATTGGGCATCTACAAAATTCACAAGATTATCTGTAACCCCTTCTAACTTCTGGCATGGAGACAGGAAGATGAAAACCCAAAGGGCCTGCTGATGCTCTTAACTTAAGGACTTATGTGAGCTACCAGTCTTGATGTTTTTCTACATATTTTCTATGTGTTTGCATTTGTGTACCTGTTTCTGCTGTGTGTGCATGTGATTCTCTCAGCTTACTCTTGGGTTGTTGGAACTTGAGAGGAAAACTTCGTGGCAAGACATTGTATGCCATACAGTGCTGGCTAATGGGATTCTTTGAAATCCTTTCACATATCAAATAGATTTGTAAGTAATGGAGTCAGGCTGAACATACTGCAAACCCCAAAAGCCTTGTTGAATCCTGAATTTGGCTGTCCCAACTATTTATAGAACACTCTATGCTTATTCTAAATATATTTTCCTCAAGGGACCCCATCTCAACTCCTTGCTCCACAGCCCAAATTGGATCAGCAATGCTGCTGCGATCTGTTAGCAAAAATTCCTTCTCTAGTTCTCTGTCAGAGTTGCTGATGTTCCTGGGGCAGACCTTGAAATGCTGTGACAGGCAGCGCTCAGGGTTTTGGATTTAAACTCTGCAGCCATCCAGGAAGAGATTTTGATGATGTATGAGACCACTTCCTGTAGCCACTGCTTGACTGTTTTTATGTTCCTCCTTTGCTGGTAGGTCAAGACTACAAGGGTTGAAAACCCTAAAGCAGTACTTGCACTGGGCCAAGGTCGGGATTTAAAGGCAGTGAGTGTGTCAGTGCTGTCACCAGAAATCTCTAGAAGTCATGTCAATTTAGGTACCCTTTAAAAATCCTGTTATTCTTGGTGCAAGGAAGAAGTGACTGCTGCTTACTTGGCCTGTGTGCTCCTTAGGGTAACATTGCATCTAAGCCTCAGAAAATGTCTTTGTGGTTGACGGAGACTCTTCTTGGTAATCTTCCTTAAATGGTGGATGGGGCAGCGTGTGGCAAGATCACAAAATGGGATTTTGTGCTTGGGACTTAGCAGGAGGAGTTCCTTAGCACGCCTCCAGAGCAGTTTCCTTCTCTTGCAGCCTCTGGAGCTGCATGAAATTAAATGGGTTACATCCTTACCTGTCTGGCAGGAAAATCACCCCAACTCAGTGCAACAAAATGGACATGGTCTCTTGCTCTGGAGAACAATAGAACAGGTGGAATATATTTTACAAGGTCATTCACATGGAGGATTTCACAGTAACCTCAAATATTGCCACAAGATGCATTCCCCTGCACACATAGGCCTTTCTTTGTGGTCTCCTCAGCTCTCCCAAGGATGGGTGCATTTCACTATGGTGAAATGTGTCTGCCTCCTGGGCTGACAGTTGGGTGGGCAGCTTGCCTCACTATGCTTCTGGCTAGTTATTCCCACTAATGTGTATCTAAACTTGATTTCCTTGTAATGTATGGTCAATTTTAAGCCTAATTTGAACGTTGAATGATGTGGTAATGTCTCAGCTGCTGCATGGAGTTTCTCCTTATTCTGCTGTTTCTGTTCTGTGAACAGAGTACAGTGGTATATATAGCACAGAGTGAAAAACTGGCTTTGTGCAACTGATACGGGCAGTGCAGGGTAAGGGGAAAGTGCCTGGTTTTCATGATGAAAATAGAAATCTGTCTTCATGTCTGTACTCTGGGAAGCTGATCAGATGTATTACGGAGTGATACTGTCACCACAGCTTGAAGAACTAATTTCAGAGCTGGCTTCTATCCTTCCTGGTAGTTTAATATCCATTTTCCTATAAGAGGAGGACGTACTGCCTCTGTTCACACTGCCTTGCTAATCACAGAATTGTAAAGTCTGACCTGCTTGAACTAATGCTCTGTAGCTACCCATTCACTCACGTGCAGACCAGCCCCCTGATGCCCATTTTCTGCTATTTTCTTATACTACAGAGATAATAGGAACGGTGAGTCAATTAATTCCATGAATTTCTCTTTTCTTTTTGAAGTGTTTGTCTACCGTGGAAATTAGGAACATATGCTAAAATACTGGCTTAGAGAATACTTGAGAAGTTAAGCTTAGTCCTCAAAGTAGCCTTGCTATGTTTTGCTGGAGGCGCTTGATTTTCTCCATTGCCACCAGTGTGATGTTTAGAACAGACCACACTCGTTCCCAGGAGTGCAGGGAAGTGCTGCTCTGAGTCAGGTGGGACTGAAATTGGGCTGGTGCTGGAACTGGTGTGCATTATATGTTGCACTGACAGCAATGAATACCCCTGCCTGTTTTTTTTCCTGCTGGGCAGGAAATGGGTTATAGATCTGTTTAAATCCTTTATCCCAAATCCGTTTGCCTTCTCATCAATGGATTCTCTTTCTCTCTTCTGCAGGCATGGTTCAGAAACTTGACCAGAAGCTTCCTGTAGCCAATGAGTACCTGCTCCTTTCAGGTGGTGTGCGGGAAGGCGTGGTGGACATTGATCTTGATGAGCTGAATGTTTATGCGCGAGGCACAGACTATGACATGGACTTCACCCTGCTGGTGCCTGCACTGAAGCTGCATGACCGCAACCAACCGGTGACTCTGGACATGCGCCACTCGGCGCTGTGCCACTCCTGGCTGAGCCTGCGGCTGTTTGATGAAGGAACTATCAGCAAATGGAAGGATTGCTGCACCATTGTGGACCATATCAACGGAGCTACCAATTACTTCTTCTCTCCAACTAAAGTTGCGGACTGGTTCTATGACTCCATTAGCATTGTCCTCTCTGAGATCCAGAAGAAGCCTCAGCGAGGGATGCCAAAGGTGGAGAAGGTAGAAAAGAATGGGACGATCATATCCATCATCTTGGGAGTGGGCAGCAGCCGAATGCTGTATGACATTGTTCCTGTGGTGTCCTTCAAAGGCTGGCCAGCTGTGGCCCAGAGCTGGCTAATGGAGAACCACTTCTGGGATGGAAAAATCACAGAGGAGGAAGTCATAAGTGGGTTTTACTTGGTGCCTGCGTGTTCCTACAAGGGGAAAAAGGACAATGAATGGAGGCTGTCATTTGCCAGAAGTGAAGTTCAGCTGAAAAAGTGCATCTCCAGCAGCCTCATGCAAGCCTATCAAGCCTGCAAAGCTATCATCATCAAATTGCTGTCCCGCCCCAAAGCCATTAGTCCATATCACTTGCGGAGCATGATGCTATGGGCTTGTGACAGGCTACCAGCCAACTACTTGGCCCAGGAAGACTATGCCGCCCACTTCCTCCTGGGTCTTATTGATGATCTCCAGCACTGCTTGGTCAACAAGATGTGTCCTAACTACTTCATCCCCCAGTGCAACATGCTGGAGCACCTCTCTGAAGAAACCGTCATGCTGCACGCACGGAAGCTGTCCTCAGTCCGCTCAGACCCCGCTGAACACCTCCGAACTGCCATTGAACACGTCAAAGCAGCCAACCGGCTAACGCTAGAACTCCAACGGCGAGGCAGCACCACCAGCATCCCCTCGCCACAGTCAGATGGAGGGGACACCAACCAGCCTGATGACCGACTAGCCAAAAAGTTGCAACAGCTAGTGACTGAGAACCCAGGGAAGTCCATCTCCGTCTTCATTAACCCAGATGATGTCACAAGGCCCCACTTCAGAATCGATGATAAATTTTTCTGAGCTTTCGTCAATGTTTTTGGGGATTTTTTCTTCTGTTTCATTATTTTGAAATACTTACAGCGTGCAGGTTTTTTCAGTTGTTTTTTCCTTGATGACTTAGTCTCTTGTTTTTTACATATCCAGCATAGATTGGATCTGTTGAGAACAATCTGAATAAATTATAATTCCTGGTTCTGCAGGACAGTGCAGATTTTGAAATAGTACATTACAATTTCATATGCTGCTTTGTTGTTTTTTTTTTTTCTGTTGTTGTTTTTTTTTTGAGGCATCCATCTGCATTTGTGAGTAGTTTCTAAAGGAGACCATACACTATAGGCATACATACCAGTGTTAGACAGATTTTTTTTTTTTTTCAAGCTTCCAGAATTTCTGTATACTGTTGGACCCCTGAAAGGGAGAACTCACTTTCTGCTGTGTAGGAAATTCACTTTTTATTTTTTTTTCTCCATGAGCTTCCATCACCCTAAAGAAATGAGAGAGACTTTGGGTTGGAAAGCACTATTGGTAATTTGATGAGGCCAAATCTAGCGGGCTGAAGCCCAGTTCATCTGTTCTTCACACTTTTCCTACCTGGGGAGAACGCTGACTTTAGAGATGTTGATGGTTTTGGGAGGAAGAGTTGTTTCTGTTTTGATCTACTTTTTGAATGTAATTGTTCATAATTGGACCTTGTGTAGTCCAGAGGGTTGTTTCTGCTGCTTTCCCGTGCGGAATAAGGTTATGGAATGTTAGTTTTAGTGTGTGTAATTATTCAAAGCCTTATTTAAATTCTATTAAAGAACATACCATTATAAATGTTAATTGCACTAATGAAATCTCTGCCATTACCTCAGTCCCACTGTTTGTGTTTCTTTCATGAATTAGCATCTGTTATTAGGTACCAGTATTGCGGAATGCTCAAGGCCCTTTGGGTCTCATGGTTTCAGGTGATCTCTTGATTGTCTTTTGTAAAAGACTTCCTTGTTAGCCCTGCGATGTTTGAGAAGTCAGGTTTTTGCATTGGCGTATTTCTTTGGATGCGTGTCGTGTGTTGCAGTGCATATTGCATTAATATGTATTGCATGTTGTTGAAACAAGATAAAGACGTAATGCTAAAGAAGTGGTACGTGCAAAGTGAATCGGCCAGACCTCGAGCAAAGGAGCTGTCTTGCTTCTCTAATGCATGTATGAGGCCTGATCCTTCATGGCATTTACCATTCCCGTGACTCCCGTGGACTTTTCTGACTCACCGTGGGACATGAGAGATCTTACTTTGGTCTCCTGTTTGCAGAAATTGTTTGTATGTAAACTTGTAGTGCGACAGTAACAAGGGTTAGTCTGAGCCAAAAATAATTCTAAGTATAATAATAATATCAAGGATGATAATTCCAAGGATTCCAAGTTCAAGGATAGAGTGGCTTTTTTGTGCCTGGCTGGTCAGTGACTGATATTTAGGCCTTAAATCAGCAATTTGGGCTTATTGATTTTCCCAGAGAAGCTGTTCTGATCCAAACTTGATGCATGTTTTAAAATGTGATGATTAGAGCAGCTTGAAGTATTTTTAAAATACGTGACAGACAAATGAGGAGCATATGAATGAGGAGTAAATTCTAACAGATAAAAATTGTGTTTGAAAAATGTGTCACTTCTTTCTCCTAGCCTGTCAGGTAATGAAACCAGGCTGGTGGAGCAGCACACCAGCAGCATTGGAAACTGTGTTATTTTGTCAGATGGCAGGGAGGTTTTGATGCCTATCTATTGCCCAAGTCATATCTTAAAACGAAATTTTGGCTCCTCCATCTCTTAGGCATACTTTGTTTCACTGCTGTGGCCAAGATGCTCAAATTTACCTGAATTTGCTGGTACACACTGATATGAGCCTGAAGAAGCTCTCCGAAGTTGTTGGCTAGATGAAGTGGATGAGGATTTAACTTCAAAGCACAATTGGCAGTGATGGTGAGCCCTGGTGCAGCTGCAGTGATGGCCTGGAGAAGGACATGTATTGACTTCAGTGAGGCAGAAGTCACTGGCTCCTACCAGTGTGGCTGTTGCCAAAGATGAGTCTCTATGTAAATCCATGTACCTGCCAGCAGAGGCTGGAGGACCAGCTGGGAATCCTCCCCGGGCGTGCTTGGAAAATGTAGATTCATTGAAATAGTCTTTTATCCAATCTCCAGGACTTCTGTCTGCTGGGAAGAGAGCCTGAGCTCCACAATGAAATGTCCCACTGCCACGTGAGAGATCTGCTCCACACAAGGCACCAGTAGCCTGGCAGGCAGAGCCCCTGGGATCCCCACTGTCTGCTCCTGCTCCTGAGTTATGCAGCTCTCAGCCTTCTTCATGCCAGTTCAACATCCCGATGACCAGCAGTTTGGCTGGCCCATGTCAAGCTCTGGTGTGTGCTCCTTTTCTTTTTTTTTTTTTGTTTTTTTTTTGTTTTTTTTTGTTTTAATTAAAAAACATTTTGAAAAGTATCTACCTTGTTCTTCCTGCACTATGAGGAAAAGTTGTGTGTGTGTCTTTGTTGGGGGGTGTAAACTTGGCTTTCTACCAGACTGGAAAGCAGCTTCCCACGTAGGTTTAAGAGAACTTGTATCCTAGGGAGGCAGAATTCTAATCTCCAGCTGGTTTTGAATCTCAGTCTAGTTTATTTGCTCCTTTCTACATACTAGCACAACTTGATGAAGCAGGTTGCCAACCAGAGTTAGTGTGTGCTTTGTCTGTCAAAGGCTCTATCTTCTCCCGCTCCTGCTATCCCTTCTCACCTTCTGGTACGTGTTGGGACAGACTTTCAAAGCATATAGGTGTCACATGGTTTAGATAACAAAAACCAACAATTCTTCACTGCATCCTGCAAGTTTCAAGGGGACTGCAGTGCTTTTTGTATTGGAGAATTCTTGGAAGTCCTTGTACAAGCATTTTAGAGCACCCAGCCCCATCGGGCATCCCAGCTGTGGCCCTACTCTTGGAACAAGGTTTTGCCTTTGCTATTTCAATTGAGTTTCTGGCTGGCAGCAGGGTAGGAGAAACAGCTCATGTGACTGATTCCAGTTGTCACTTCTGTGAGTCCTGGTGCCCCAGGTATAGCTGAGCCTGCAGAGCTGACAGTCACCAGCTGGTGGGGGAATACATGGGGATAAAGGAAAAAATGCCTCCTTTACAGACCAAAAGTCAGAGACTCCTGATGGTTGCATTGCTCTGTTCTCAAGGCTGTGACTATTGCTTTGACAGCAGCTCCACATAGCTTCATCCTCTGAAGACATTTCTGTAGAGGTTTATTTTGGTGTCTCACCAACCTGCTTGATGCGTAGTGATGAATGCAGATTGCAGCTGGGTAATGAAAAGTAGCCAGGAAGTGGTGGTTGGGACTGGAGGGGCATGGAACAGAGTTCAAATCTCAGTAAAGTCCATTGGGACTTGAAAATATGCTTGAAAATATGCTTGAGAATAAGTGTGTGTTCTTTGCTGGATCAAACTGATTATCAAGGTAAGCAGACTGTTGTATTTTATTGACTCATGTGTAATGCAGGCAGCCATGCCTAGTGCAAGCGATTGTGGCTGAGGGAGGGGGGAAGATAGGTTTTGCTAATGATTATTTCTTCAACTTTTTTGTTAACATGTGTAAGACTGTTACCTAGAATTGACTAAAAGAAGTAATCTATCTGTCCCTTTTTGCAGGTTCAGCATGGGATACGTTTTGCCAGTTTGTTTTGTGTTACAGAGAGTGTGTTGGAAAGGTCAGTGGGCAACTGAGCACAGTGATGTTCAGATTCTCTTGACGTTGGCTCGGTGATTAGAAATATTCAGCATGTAAATAGCTTGTTCAACATCAGCAAGTACATCATCTCCCTCCTGCCAGCTTGCTTAGGGTGAGCTAATGGACTTTTAACATTATGCAGCTGAGAGAGTTGCTGTCTCTAATAGCTCCTGATTAAACTCTCCAGAAGGGAAGATAGCCACTGTGGGGCAGAGGCTAAAAAATGGGGTGTGGGGATGGGGATGGCAGGGTGCACAAAATAGCAGACATTAGAAAGCTGCTGGCCAAGGGGCACTTGCTGATGTGTTGTATTTAGGGAAATTCAGCTTTATATTTAGCACATTTTGGCTTTTGAGAACCGTCTTTCTAATGGAGCCCAATTTATTTCCTCTGCTTTTAGAATAGTGACAAAATAGCCCTCCATCCCTTCTCCTCCCGCATTTCCCATTTCTAATCTATTATTTTAGGGCTGATCTGAGGAACTATTGTGTTCTTTTCCTATTATCTTTGTCCCTGGCTCAGCGCTGTGCTTCCAAGCTGAATGTAGGCTTTTGGGGGTTATTTTTATCTTACTGACCTTCTGTGGTAGAGGAACACGCTCTCATTCACTCACAGACAGCCTGATTTGCTAAGCAGAGATGTGGGTGCATACACATACATCAGGCTCCCTTCAGATTCACTTGGCCTTGCCTCTGCCCCTCAGATTTTTGCAGTGAAGACTTTGCTGAGGTCTTGCTGGGCATAGGGAGGCCATCTGAAGATACAACATGTGATTCTCAAGTCTTAAGCAAGTCCTAACAAAAGGCAGAAGCTGAGGCCAAACAGCAGACACTTTTGTCCTCAATTCTCATCCCCTTCAATCCCCTTGTTTCAGTTTTCTTTTTGGGAGGTGATGAGAAAGGCGATCTGCTTCTGTCTGCCTCAGTGGTCCAAATCCTAGATGTAGCTTGCGATGTTAGACACTTTAATTAATGGCTCTGCTTATCTCAAGGGCTCCTTCTTTCTTTACAACCTACCATGACATTGATAGGACTGGAGAGGATTTTATGATCTGTTCAACCAGTTCACAACAGAACTGTGTAAAGAAAGGAATGGACATTTTCCCTGAAGAATGAATGACCTTGTATCCTTGTGCCTCCTCTGTGCCAAGGCTTGTGCACAGCATGTTGTTAATAGCCATTTCTAACACTTCAGGAAGGAATCTGGGGCTCTTTTAGCGTTCCCCTGGAACAGACAACAGAGGGGAGCTGGAGGGAGTGGGTGAGGACACAGTGTCCCCTTGCTCTGACCTCAAATCTCCTTAACACTGCCAAAGCTGTAGTGACTGACTGCTGCTTCTATGACAAGACACCATTGGTGGAGCTTCCAAGAAGAGAGGCAGGGTCTCAGCTGGCAAAGATGGCTCCTCAGGGAGACCTACAGCAAGCCCAGCATCTCCTATG